CAGGTGATCTGTGGGACCTTAAAGGGTCAGGTGATCTGTGGGACCTTAACGGGTCAGGTGATCTATGGGACCATAAAGGGTCAGGTGATCTGTGGGACCATAAAGGGTCAGGTGACCAGTGGGACCTTAAAGGGTCAGGTGATCTGTGGGACCTTAAAGGGTCAGGTGATCTATGGGACCATAAAGGGTCAGGTGACCAGTGGGACCTTAAAGGGTCAGGTGATCTTTGGAACCTCGAAAATTCAGGTGATTTGTTGGACCTTGGTGGGTCAGACTCAGTCTAAATGAGAGAAGATGAAATATTTGTTTACCTCTGATTTTCTTCTTTACCTGAAGTCTGTCGCTTTTTGTTTGTGTTGTAGGTTTAAAGTTTTTTGTTTGTTGTCTTTTTCTTTCTCTTTCTTTTATTTATGAGTTCTGACAACAGAACTGCAGATTAAAGATGTTTTATTTCCTGTTCTGCTTCTCTCCACACTGCACAGGAAACGGTTACTGGGCAGTCCAGAAGCCTGCGAGGTTCTCCGCAATGCCAATATGGCTTCTCTGCTGCCCCCTGTTGGTACAGAGGTGTTCAAACGCTTCACACCAGCCTCTCTAGAAGAAATCAACCGAAGACAAGCAGCTAAACAACAAGAAGCTGAACAACAGAAGGAAGAACAAAAGAAACATGACAATATTGAGGTACAGATGAGCACAAATCAATACAAGATAAAAAAAAAAGATGCTCTGACTGACTGGTTTCTCTCTGGCAGGTGTCTGAGGAAGATCTCCCTCAACCAGCCAGTGATCTCGAGGCTGGGAAGCCCCTTCCCTTCATTTTTGGAGACCCACCTCCTGAGTTACTCAACATCCCTTTGGAGGAGTTGGATCCCTTCTACCAATCACAGAAGGTCTTTCTTTCTTAAATGAAATGTATTTTCTATTCGGAATACTTGCTGACATCTCAGACTGATATCTGTAAATAATTGTTACAATTTCTTAACTTTCATTTATATAATCTATTACATCATGGAGGTAAAAGACTTAAATTCAAGGGTCTAATCCGTCTCTCTGCAGACCTTCATCGTGCTCAGYAAAGGAAACATCATCTACAGGTTTAACGCAGAGCCGGCGTGTTACCTGCTCAGTCCATTCAACCCTCTGAGGACCTTCGCCATCAAGATCCTCATCCATTCATATCCTTAAAGATCACACTTTAGTCCTGTCTTGGGTCATCMACTTTATTTATTGAAACCATAAAGTTAAAAAAAAACTCAGCTTTCCTAAAAAGAAAACAATCAAAGCAACTAAGACCGTAAAACCGGCAGTGATGAAACATCCAAGCTTTAATCAGCTTCTGTCAAATATTAACAAGACGACATTCATGAAACAACACTGATCTCATAACGTTAGACGTCATGAGGTAGTGATGGAGGTAGACCACAGTTCTGATTCAAACAGGACAAACGATAAATACTGAGGAAAGCAGAACCGTGGATCAGCAGGTTGATTGACAGTTTGTTCTTCCTTACAGCCAAAACTTTGTTTAGTTTGTTCATCATGGTGACTATTTTGACCAACTGTGTGTTCATGACGATGAGTGATCCTCCAGCATGGAGCAAGACGGTGGAGTAAGTCTACACACACACACACACACACACACACACACACACACACACACACACNCACTCCAAATAAACTACAGACACAAAACACATCACACACACACACACACACACACACACACACACACACACACACACACACACACACACACACACACACTGGATACTTACCTTGTACACACATAATACAGCTCATTTGTACTGGATACTGTTGAACCTCATATAAACCATACTTTTACACTCCAAATAAACTACAGACACAAAACACATCACAGAAACGTTAACACACGCAGTCTACATAGACAACAAAGTAATCAACCTGACAGAAACGCCCCAGAGGTCACTGCAGGTCCACTCAGAGTTCTGTGGAAGCTACGAACAGAAGATCTGTTTTCTTGATTTTGTGTCTCAGAACATTTCTGTCTGTCCTTAAACAGATACGTCTTCACAGCCATCTACACGTTTGAAGCAACCATCAAAATTTTGTCCCGAGGATTCTGTGTGGGGGGGTTCACCTTCCTCAGAGACCCCTGGAACTGGCTGGACTTCATGGTCATCAGCATGGCGTAATAATCATTCACTAACATAGAGATAATTTGACCATACAGCATGWAGTTTATACATTAAACTTGTTTTTGATGCATAATCAGATATTTTTTATCTTATTAACCTCAGTCAGATTTGGTGAAAAATCCAGCTTAAAACTCTTGTCTTCTGCTGATGTGACTCATGATAAAAATACAGTAAAAGACAGGATGTTGATCAGGAATATTTCTGTTTTACAGATATTTGACTGAGTTTGTGGATTTGGGAAATGTTTCTGCACTGAGGACCTTCAGAGTTCTTCGAGCCCTGAAAACTATCACAGTAATTCCCGGTCAGTTTGTTGTTTACCTGTTTATGTTTACATGCATTACTTCTGTCTGCAGTTCAGCCACACACATTTGGTTTTGATCAGGATGTTGGTTTTCTTAGCTTCACTGCATCACAAATGTTTCACCAAAATTTCATTAAAACTTCACCTCAATTTTCTTTTTTATCAATGTTTCACCAATGTTCTACCATTGTTTTACCAATGTTTCAATGTTTCACCGGCATTCCACCATCATTTTACCAATGTTTCACCAACGTTCCACCATTGTTTTACCAATTGTCACCGATTTGTCACGAATGTTTCACCAACATTCCACCATTGTTTTAACAATTTGTCACCAATATATCACCAATGTTTCACCAATGTTCAACCATTGTTTTACCAACGTGTCACAAATGTTGTTTACCTAATTATGTTTACATGCATTACTTCTTTCTRCAGTTCAACCACACACATTTGGTTCTGATCATCACAGGATGTTGGTTTTCTTAGCTTCACTGCATCACAGATGTTTCACCAAAATGTCACTAAAGTTTCACCTCAATTTTGCTTTTCATCAATGTTTCACCAATGTTCCACCATCGTTTTACCAACATGTCACCAATTTTTCAATGTTTCACCAACATTCCACCATTGTTTTACCAATGTGTCACCAAAGTTTTAATGTTTCACCAACTTTCCACAAATGTTTTGCAAATGTCCCACCTTCATTTTACCAACATTCCACCATCGTTTTACCAACGTGTCACGAAAGTTTTAAAGTTTCACCAACATTCCACCATCATTTTACCAATGTGTCAAAAATGTTTTAATATCTCACCAACATCTGACTAAAATTTCACCTAAATTTTCCATTTTTCACTAAGGTTTACAAATTATCCACTGTTTTACCAATACTTTACTTATACTTTATAATTTCTTTAACATTTCACTAACTTCACCAAAATTTTAGATTTCACCAATGTTCCATCAACACTCCACTGTTGTTTTACCAATGTGCCACCAATGTTTCACGACACCATTATTTTACAGATTTATCAATATTCCAATAACATTTCACCARTCCATCTTTGTGTGAGCCTTTTTGAAAAGAATATACATCAATTTATGCAATAATAAGTTAAAATATTAGATTAAAATGATATRATGTTGTGGCCTTCAGTGTTTTAGTTCCTTGTTTTAAACCTGAGACAAACTCTCCTGGTTGGTTGCTCGTTCCTAAAACTCTGCCCTCTTTGCAGGTTTGAAGACCATTGTTGGCGCTCTCATCCAATCAGTGAAGAAAATGGGTGACGTCATGATTCTGACTGTGTTCTGCCTCGCCGTCTTTGCTCTGATTGGTCTTCAGCTTTTCATGGGAAACCTGAGACAAAAATGTGTTCTGATGCCACCGCTGAACAACCACACATCAGCAGAAGCCATCAATGCCAGTTTCTACAGCAACGACACCTACAACAACAGCACTTACTTTGATTACTATGAGCACATTAACAATCCAGGTAGCTTCAGTTAAAWGTTTGGATTTATAAAATTATATTTATTTTCTCCCCTAAATACAAACATTTATTCTGTTTTTCACTTTAACAGAGAATTATTACTTCCTGCCAGGCAGCCCTGATGCTCTGCTGTGTGGAAACAGCTCTGATTCTGGGTACTTTGAAATAAGCATTATTATTATAACTTTGTTATTTTTATTATTGATGATGATGATGTGTTCAGAGCTTGTCCGGATGGTTACATCTGTCTGAAAGCTGGGAGGAACCCAAACTATGGCTACACCAGCTATGACACTTTTAGTTGGGCGTTTCTGGCTCTGTTCAGACTCATGACACAGGACTTCTGGGAAAACCTGTTCCAACTGGTCAGTACCAAACTGGTCTCAATTCATCTTGCTCTGACTGATGTTTTTGTCCTTTTTGTTTGTCTCTAAACTGTGTCTGATTTGTGTCTGTGTGTCTGCAGACGCTGCGATCAGCAGGTAAAACCTACATGATTTTCTTTGTGGTGGTTATCTTCCTCGGTTCATTCTACCTCATCAACCTCATCCTGGCTGTGGTGGCCATGGCCTACGCCGAGCAGAATGCAGCCACCATTGCTGAAGCCAAGCAGAAGGAGGAAGAGTATGCTCAGATCCTGGAGGTGCTGAAGAGGAGAGAAGAGGAGGTACAATGTTGTGATGGATGAAAATTTTCAGAGGGTTTCCCAAACAAGAAGCTGGACAATTGTTCTTTGGTCATTACAGCTGGCAGCCAACAGGGCGGCGCTCTTAGAGAAGGAAGGCAAGAACTCTGAGGAAGAACAAATGGCCATGAATGGTATGCACACACACTGCCTCACAAACCCTAGTATACACACTGACCYACATACCCCACAAACTCTGGTATACATGCTGACCTAGTACAAACCCCACAAACCCTCATATACACAATGACCTATGTATCCAACAAAACCCACTTTACACACTGACCTATGTACCCTGCATTCCTGGTAAAATTCTGTTGGGTTTTCATGTCCACTCTCTGATGTGAGGAAAATAGGGGAGTGAGTTTCTGAGTCTGATCAGATTGTCCAAATAACCGGACAATTTATTTTCTCACAAAGCAAATTTTTTTTGTTCCAGACTTTGAGGAAGACCAAAGACCTTGTCCTCCATGCTGGTATGCATTTGCTGACATCTTCCTGAAGTGGGACTGCTGTGGTTGTTGGAGGTGGCTGAAACAACTGCTTTACACCATCGTCATGGATCCATTTGTCGATCTTACTATCACCATCTGCATCGTTCTCAACACCGTCTTCATGGCCATGGAGCATTACCCAATGACTGAGGAGTTTGAGGAGCTGCTGAGCATTGGAAACCTGGTCAGTGATGGAGGCTTTTTATACCTGAAGGTCTGACACAAAGTTAATTAAAACCCAAAAACTTTATGTGACCTTCCAACATTCTATCATCATCAAATCCTTAGGGTAGGACCAAACRCTTCAGCCAGAGTTAGTGCCATTTTTACTAACTTATCAAAAGTTGTTTGTTGTCAGAGAACCAAAGCTCCAGTCATAGCACTAGTTAGAGACCAGACATGCCAAACAATAAGACCAGAAAGATGAGTTCATCCAATTAAAACTACAAAAACAATGGTCTGCATTAGAATCACTGACCTTTGACCTCTGATCTTCAGGTCTTTACAGGAATMTTTACAGCTGAGATGGTCCTCAAGCTTCTTGCAATGGATCCATACAACTATTTCCAGGTCAGGGTTTCTCTCAGAGATAACAGCTGATTAAAGATGATGTTTTCATGGTTATGAGTGTTGTTCGTTGTCATGATTACAGGTTGGCTGGAACATATTTGACAGCATCATCGTTACCATGAGCCTGGTCGAGCTGGGCCTGGCTAATGTACAGGGTCTGTCTGTGCTTCGCTCCTTCCGATTGGTTGGTTCACCATTTTTATCATCCAGATCTTAACAGAGTTGTTGGAGAGCATCACCTGTGTCCTCACCTGTCCCTTCTGTCTCATCTTGTGTCCAGATGCGAGTGTTTAAACTGGCCAAATCGTGGCCCACCCTCAACATGTTGATAAAGATTATCGGGAACTCTGTGGGGGCTCTGGGGAACCTGACGCTGGTTCTCGCCATCATCGTCTTTATCTTTGCTGTCGTCGGCATGCAGCTGTTTGGGAAGAGCTACAAAGACTGYGTCTGCCGCATTTCAGAGGACTGCRAGCTTCCTCGCTGGCACATGAACGACTTCTTTCACGCCTTCCTCATCATCTTCAGGGTCCTGTGCGGCGAGTGGATCGAGACCATGTGGGACTGCATGGAGGTCGCGGGTCAGGCTATGTGCCTGATCGTCTACATGATGGTGCTGGTTATTGGAAACCTGGTGGTGAGTCTCTGCAGTTTGAATGTGTCTGGTGTACTGCACCGGTTAGTAAAGTCCAGAAGACATTTTAAACTTMAAAGAATCTCAGACCGGGGTCCTGGGCTGTGTTCGAACCATCATCTCAGTTTCTTCACTTGTTGCTGTCTTTATTTCAGGTCCTCAATCTGTTCCTGGCCTTGCTGCTGAGCTCGTTCAGCGGAGACAACCTTTCAGCCTCAGACGATGAAGGAGAAAACAATCTGCAGATCGCCATCAACCGGATCAGCAGGGCTGTGGCCTGGATCAAAGCCTGGTTCCTCAAAACCTTCTGTAATCTGCTGGGAAAGAAGACAACAAAAAACTCAGACCCTGCAGGTGGGGGTAGATTATTTTAATTGAAATCTTRGTTTGAGGCTTTGTAATTACATTTAGTTGTTAGAACCTAAATGATTTATTTGACGTTTGAAATCAATCTTTCCAGCTGAAAGCACTAAGGAAGACGACACGACGAAGGAGGTTTTACCTCTGACCTTTGTGACCTCGGAGCAGCCAGTAACACAAGTCACAGTCCCCAGCAGTAACCCAACCAGCTACTATCAWAACATCGTATCCCTGAAGGTCCCCATCGCCAAGGCTGAGTCTGACGCTGACAGTTCTGAAGACGACGACGAGGAGGGTGTGGAGCAGCTCTCACAAGTAAAATCTGTTTCCTCTCTGGTACCACAAACAAAAATCACCATCTGCATTGATTATGTGCTGTTGATGATCTGATCTGCTGTACTTGTTTAGGGTGAAGAATCGTCTGTCTGCAGCACTGTGCAGAAACTTCCTGAAAAGGCTGAAGTCCAAACTGAAAATGATGATTCTCCTGAGGATTGCTGCACTGATAGTATGCACACACACTCGCACACATAAAAGTATGAATCTTATTTTATTAAATGTGTTTTTTAATTTGAAGGTTAAAGTTTGGGCTAAAAGACAAAATATTGACCAGATAATAAGTTTGACGTCTGGATTTATGATGCTGAATCTCAAAGGGCAGGAACATCCTGGCAATAGTTTAGTCTCTTCTCAGGAACAAACCTGTCATCTGAGTCACTTTTCTTCAGTTCCAGAAAGTGGTTTGCGACCCTTGAAGTGAACATTTTGTTGTCCCGTCATTCGAATTYCACCTGAGAGAGGTTTTGCAATTATCTCCTGGACCCACATGAGCATTGTTGTCCTATACAAGGACGAGTGAATCAGTGACAAAGTGTAGCTAAGTGATCAAACCAGGGGCAGTTCTAGGGGCGGAGCCACAGGGGCAGTGTCCCTTGCTGAAATTTGATTGGCTCCCTGATGTGCCCCTGTCCTGTCACTCATCTGTCCTTTACCCAAGAGTGATGATGCCAGGTGCAGTTCCATGTTCAAACACTAGAGGTGCTAAATGAGACCAATAGAAACGTCCACCATGAATCAAGCTGATAGAAGTCTTTTTCTTTTCTTAAAATTTGAGCAATCCTGCAGAAATAAAGTCTCTCAACTCACCAATGATGACTGGATTTTCTCACATGCTGTGTTTGAGAGTATTTTATCTATGTACATTAACAATGCATGTAAAATTGGTAAGTGTTTAAATGTGTGACTGGTTAWATATATACACTTACCAAAACCAGGGATTTGTGTACAAGGATACTGAAGAAATACTTGGCTCCTCTATGAATACTGTCACCCCTTGATGGCCCCTTACTTAGGAAAATCCTAGATCCGCCACTGGATCAAACTGTACGTAAATTATCCTCCACTCCATATTCTCTTTAGAAAGTCCAGTTTATWTGATTCAAGTATTTTTGTCTCTTTGTGTCTCTTCTTATTTCAGAGTGTTACAGTCGCTGCCCAGTCCTGGACATAGACACATCCCAGGGCAGAGGAAAGATCTGGTTTAACCTCAGGACAACCTGCTTCTCCATCGTAGAGCACAACTACTTTGAGACATTCATCATCTTCATGATCCTGCTGAGCAGTGGAGCTCTGGTAACAATCATTTACATTTCTGATTAAAACGTCACCAGTTTGTTCTGTTTAGATGTGTTGCTGCTTTGTCTTTAACAGCCCAGCTTTAATTGAAACGTTTTATTTAAACTTTTCCTTGCTCCATGTCTTGGCGCCTGGTTGGCTGTTTGAACACGTGACAGAGAAGGTGCAGACTAACAGGCCTCTGAGCATTAATCTGTTGGTTGGCGTGGCTAACATGTGACTAACATGGCTGCTGAATGCACACAGGTGAGACTTATCTTTTTTACCTTCAGCTACTCACCGCTCGATGTGTTCCAGAAACTACTTCCTGTTTACAGAATAAAAGTGTCCAGCTGTTGGTGTGAAACTCCTGAATCTAGAACAAAGCTACTTGTCTGTTGAAAGTGTTGATCTGATCATCATCTCCTCTGTAGATGCACGTTAACAGCTGGACCTTGAGTCCTTCAGATGTTTGGTGGTGACACTGAACACCTGTCCAGGTGATAACTTTGGTCTACACATTAACAGGCCTTTGAGGACATCTACATGGAGCAGCGGCCGGTCATCAAGGTCATCCTGGAGTACGCAGATCAGGTTTTCACATACGTCTTCGTGTTGGAGATGCTTCTCAAGTGGGTCGCCTACGGGTTTAAGACGTACTTCACCAACGCCTGGTGCTGGCTGGACTTCCTCATCGTAGATGTAAGAATGTGACCAACGATGGAGATCAGTCCATTTTTTAAAATTCATATTAATTATGTCCACAAACCAAGACCCAGTTCATCTTAAATGGCATTAAATCAAAAAGTATTAAATTATAAATCTAATGACAAAATGTTATCTGTAAAACWAGAGAATTTGTTTTTTTCTGCAAAAATGTAATGTGAAAACTTGTTGTTAAAAGGATTTTGCTTAAAGTTGCTGAAGGCATGTCAAGTAAGAATAGCTAAAATTAGCAAAAAGAAGCTAAAACTCATCTGTCTACCTGGGAGTGATGATGGTGGATGCAGTTCCATGTTCAAACTCTAGAGGCGCTAATGGGTCAAATAGTAAAGTCCAGAATGAATCAAGCTGACAGAATTCTTCTTCTTAAAGGGTCAATATCATGTAAAATCAACTTTTTTGAGTTTTATATCATGTTATAATGTTATACTCTCATAAAAAAACACGCCCAAAGCCTTGCTCTGACT